GCAGTCCCCGAGGATGGTCCAGATGGTTTCTCGTGGTCCACCTTGTGGGGGGCCCCTGGGAGGGCCCCGTAGCGGCTGGGCCCGCCGCAAAAGCTGGTTCGAACGCGCCCCTCGCGACGACGAGGGCGACGCGGGAAAACGCGGCCGCGCCCGGCAGCGGGGCGAGCGATGGCGAGGGGATGAGGGGACGAGGAGATGAGGAGCAAGAGAAGGGAAGGCAAGTATCTAAGTATTACGATGACCAGGAAAAAGGAAAGGGGGCGGAGGAACGCGAGGGCCCAAATGCTCCGACGCAAGCGTTGGAAAGAACGCATCAATGCACTTCAATGAACAGCGCGCTGCGCCAGACCGGCTGCGCCGCGGGGCCACCGCGCATAGCAGGCCCCGCGCGCGGTGACATTGCCCGCGGCGCGGCCGAGCCAAACGAGAAACGGATGCCGCGGATGACGGATGCCGAGCGCTAGATCGAGATATCGAGCGTCGATTTCAAGTTCATCTCGCGCTGGCCATTCCCTTCGAGAGCCCAAGAACCGAGCTGAGCGCATCGCTGGCGCGGCCCCGTCGCCCAAGCCCAGACGGCGCGGGGCCCTAGCGAAGGAGGTGCTCGCCTGCTTTCGCGAGCACGGAGTCGAGCAAGATCGGCCCACCACCAGCAGTGCGTGCTCCGTCGGAGCCACCGCCGTCGCCGCCAGCAGCCTGCTTCGAAGCTGCTGCAGCTGCGGCCAGCGCAGACTTTTAGGCGGCGACGCCGAAACGCGGCGCAAGCTAGTCGGCGCCAGGGGCACGCTGCTGCCCGCGCTTTCGCGCGACGCCAGCTTCGCCCGACAGGGCCGCGCGGGCGGGCTTAGTCTCATATGCAATCGGTGCGTCCGTCGCTGACGGCGCGGACTTCAACGCTGGAACCTGGAAGACCCCCCTCAATCCCCTCTCTTCCTCCCCGTCTTCCTTCTCCTCCCCATCCTCCCCTTTCGCATGCGCATCTACCTCGTCCTCCTCCTATCTTCCTCCTCCTCCTCCTTCTCCTCCTCCTCCTCGCCCCCCCCCTCCTCCTCCTCGTTGTCCTCCTCCTCCTCCTCCTCCTCATCCGCCCCCTCGCCCTCGCATCCCTTCCGCGTTCGTTCAAACCGATGCTTTTTTGTATAAAAAGAGCCCCCCCCCCCCCCCCCCCCTCGCCCTTCGCCCCCCCCCCCCCCCCCCCCTCTCATCTTCTTCGGCGTCGCCATCGCCGTCGCGGCGATTGCCCCGGCGCCTTCCAGGCGAGGCGCCGCTGCGACATGAACTGGCTCGCGCCCGTTTTCTTCTGGCGGCGCCGGCGCGGACATGTTCAGCTGCAGGTCGCGCCAATAGATCTCCATGGCGGAGTCGCTCTCGACGACCTTGACCACGCGGGCGGGGGGCGCGATCTCCGAGAAGAGCGACGCGTTCCCGTCCACGTAGAACGGGGCGCCGTAGAGCTCACCGAGCTCGATGCCGTCTTTGGGCGGGTGATTGGCGCCCGCGCCAGCGAACGGCAAGCGCAGGCCATCGCTCGTCAGGTCGATCTTCAGCGGCGGGTCCTCGGCGCGAAAGTTGATGCTGATGTTTCCCCAGGGCTGGGAGAAGCTCTTGTACTAGTTCCACACTTGCTTCTCGGCCTCCGCCCGATCATCTCGACGAAGGGCAGGCCGACCTCGTCCGCCGACATCCTGAATCTGTAGCAACTCGCAAGGTTGACAGTTTCGGTCACGAGCACCTGAACCTTCTTCGCCATCTTAGGCGCGTCGGGCTCACGCTTGGACCCAGGCTGATTGGACCCGCCGTCGCAGGCAAGCACGCCGCCGTCGCCCTCGCCGCCGTTCGCCTCCAACTTGACCTGGAACTGGGATAGTGGGCCATCGGCGCCGTGAGCTGCATCCGCGCCAACGTCAGGGGTAGTCGCGGCATCCGTGTTGGCCACTGGGCTATGCTTCGTGGTGTCCTTCAGCGCGTGCTGGTTCCTGCGCATATCACTCACTAGCGTCGACCACCACTCAGCCTGCTTCTCCTTGCCCGCCATCTGGACGTCGCGCGGCCCCACGTTGTCGATGCAACTCGCGAGGCCGCTGCCGACCTGCGCAGTCAGGTTCGCCAGCTCTGCGGCGTCGCGGGAGTTCATGGCGACGCCAGGCTTCCCGATGGCGAAAGCAATCGCTTGCATGATCAACCTGGCCCGAAACGAACCGAAACGCAAGACCTCTTGTGTGTTCTCCCATATCATGGCCACCCTGCACAGCGCCCTCCCAAGCGCCAACGCCTCCCTGGCGATATCGGCCCACCCGGAGGGGAACGCGTGCTCGGCGATGGAGATGCAGTAGTCGAGGATCTGCTCGATGGACAGGTTGCCGAGGAGGTCGGCATCGGTCAGGGCCTTGAAGAAGGCGCTATGCGAAGCAGGGTGCTGGGCAGCCCCGCCTGACTTCAACTGGATCACGAGAGCCTCGAGGGCGATGAACTGCCCCTCGTCGTCGATGAAGGTGGCCATCTTCGCGGAGATGATGCGCCGATCACTGTCAACGCTGACACCCGCGACAGCGCTTTTTCTTTTTCTCTCTCTCTCTCTCTCTCTCTCTCTCTCTCCCTCTCTCTCTCTGACGATTGCCGCTGCCGCCGCCCTTCGAGCACGCCTCCCGATGATCGACCAACATCAGCTTCAACAGCTGGCACAGCGAAGAGAGCTCGCGACGTTCTTGCCGCGGGCGGTAGCAGAACCCGCCCACGCGAACTCCAAGCATGCCGATGCACAGAACGCCACCGTGCCAGACGATCCAGGCCCAGACGGCATCTCGGGGGTTGCAGAATAAGCCAACAAGTAATTAGCCAATCACGTCGATGGCGGTCGAGTTATCGCTTCGGGAGGCCGAGAGAGCGCAGCCAACCAGATATGGAACCGAGGACCAAGACTTGGGCCCTTGTCTCGGCCGCGCCCCTCAGGAGCGGGGCCAAGACAAGGGCGGGGACATAAGTCTCGGCACCCTCGGCCCCGCTCGGAAAGACCGAAGGCCGAGGCGAAGTTGAGGCGGCAAATATTTCTGAGAGCCGCTGGCCGATCTTATGCGCGATGTGCTTCTCAGCCCCAGACCGCGCGGGGTCGCCCATCGACGTGATCTTCCTGCGCTTCGACCCCTGGCCCGCCTTCTGAGCGCCAGCAATTCTAGCAAGCACTGGTGGCTGATGGGCGACTTCGGAGCGAAGACCCACGGGGCGCCGACGTCGCCAACGTCGCTGGCCAACGGCGCAATGAATTTCATGGCCTCGTAGACTAAGTTCGCGACGATCCTCTCTGGCACGGAGTCCTTCAGCCGATCGAAAGGGTTGGGGGCGAAACTTTTTGGTGTTTTAGCTTATCGCGCTACGGCCCGAAGGTCGTCGCGGGCGCCCTGTGCCCCGTCGAGTTCCGGCCGTCTCGGGTTCAGCCTGGCCCCCGATGTGTTTCCGAGAGCCACGGGATAGGGCCATCGGATGGGCCCCAGCCCCAGGAGCCCCGAGATGGCCAGATGGCCGCAAGAGTCTTAAGAGGGCCCATGACCCAACGCGCCCCCGAGACCGAAGAGAAAGCAAACCCCAAACGGGGTCCTGGGCGCCGTTGACGATAGCGCGAAACCCGTTTGGTGTTCCTGTTTTTTCCCCATGCTCATCACGCCAAGCAGTGGCGTGATAGCCGTGGCGCGATTAGCAAGAACCAGAAGGTGTTGCTTCCAACGTGTCCGTCCATCCCACAGGGCAGCTGGCCAGTTAATGACGGTCTTCGCCACGTCGCGCATGTTGCCGATGACGGCATGGATCTGGAAGCCATTGTTCAAGTAGTCGCAGTACTCGCCCATGAGGCCGCTCACCTGGTCGTTGATGCGAGTCTTGACCAGCTTGACACCAAGGCGGCCAGCCTTCAAAAACTTGTTTCTCTGCCCCTGGAAGTGCACTGATTTGGGTTGGCCTTTCAAGAAATTCCACATCTTCGATAGGTATCCGCCCTCCTCCTGCTCACCGCTGCGCTCGACCATCCCAGAGTCGAACGCGCGGGCAGCCCACGTCGCTCGAAGCTCAAGGGCGTCATGCACAACCTCATCGAATGTGATCTCGCTGCCACCGTGGAACCTGTTGTGGTAGGTATTCATCCACTCCTCGCGCTTGGGGTCGATGTCGGCGTCGAGCAAGATCACGTCCCGAAAACCATTCTCCCTGGCGTACTTCGCGAACTTGTTATCCTTGTGCCTGACGGCCCTGGGGTAGAACGCGTCGCAGATGCGGCCGCCCCGCGCAAGCGCCCAGTAGGGCGGCGCATGTCGTTCGACATCCCGAGCCACATGGAGCCCGCGACGCCGCCAGTCACGATGCCATTCAAGAGGAAGCTCTTGGCATAGGCTCCCGACGCCGTCATCAGCCTGCGCTGGTTGACCTTCGCGCGGAAGATCTTCTGCTCGCCGTTGACGTCGTGGGGCATGACCTTCCGATCCACGCCCTTGACCTCCCACCCGGAGATCGCCCAGTCCAAGCGCATGGAGCCCTCGAGGGTCTCGAAGCAGTCCTGCGACAGAGAAGGAAGCAAACTTGTTTTCAACGAACTGCACTTTCCTGGGAAATACAATTTGTTGAAGACAAGTTTGCGCACGGGTGGCGGCGTGGGGGGCAGGACCAAGGCCCGCTTTTACCAGACGGCTGTTTTGAAACTGGAGCGGTCGGCACCACAAGGCGAATCATTGCAACGCGTTTTTGAATGTCAAATGCCTCGCGAGACGTCAGCCCCCCCTGGGGCCTGCAAGGCCAACCCATGAAGGCCTGGCAATCCGTGGATATTCCGTCCACAAGTGTGACCTGGAATACTGACCACGTGACCTGGAATACCTGCATCATCGTCGTCATGCATGTGATGATATCCAGCCCTCCCCCCCGCCCTCTCCTTCCCCCGCTCGGCGTTTTGTTTGACCGCGTCGGCTTGAACAAAAAACACTCGCCATGCCCCTGGGGCCGCGGGGGCCAGGAAGGCCATATAGAGAGAGAGAGAGAGAGAGAGAGAGAGAGAGAGAGAGAGAGAGAGAGAGAGAGAGAGCACGGCACAACACGGGGAGGGAACGCTTTCTAGAAACAGCTGGCCCCGATGGCGCCCTTGCGAGAGGGGCGACCAAGCGCTCGATTTTCCCCGAGGCAAACGCCCGCCCTGCGCCAGAGGCCGACTGGGCGGCACCGACACTGGCACGGCGGGGCCCGCTGTTGATGATTGTTGCTGCGCACCGCCAGCTGGCTGACTGCCGCTCGCAGCCGCTGACCCTGCCCCAGACGACGACCCGCCGCGCGATGGTGCAGGGGCGATCTGGGTCTGCTGGAGCTGCTGCATCGCCGTAGCCGCGCAAGCAGGGCATCGGGCGTGGCGCCCGGCATCGGTGCTTCCAGGGCCGCCCCCATGCCAGCGCAGGGCTGGAGGAGGAAAAAAATGCGCCGCACTGACCAGACGCAGTCGCCACAACAAGCTAGAACAGCTAGGCCGGGTATGAAGCCGACGGCGGTGCTCATAGGCGTGGTGCCATAGCACGATGAACGCACCGCGATGAGGGGTCCTAGTATGAGGGAGGTCATAGCCAGCATGGGGGCAATATGGTCATAATATGAGGGAGGTCATAGCCAGCATGGGGGCAGTATGGTCATACTATGAGGGGGTCATATCCAGCATGAGGGTGATCATCGTATACAGGGCGTGATAGTATGAAGGCGGGCTATAAGCATCACGATTCATAATACGAGGGGGGTCATACGCAGCATGGGTGCTATCATCGTACGAGGGGGGTCCTAACATGGGCGTCGTATTCAGTATGAGGGCGATCATCATACGAGGGGGGGGGGGGGGGCAAAGTGTGAGCAAGATCATAACCAACATGGTGGTTATCATCAGATGAAGGGGTCATAATATGAGGAAGGTCATAGCCAGTATGACGATGGCCATCATATTAAGGGGTGCGCCATATGAGGTGATCGTAACACGTGCGATTGTGGTATGTATCAATGTGAGGGGGTTCATATAGTAAGGGTGCATGTAGTGGGGCGACGCTTGCGATCCACCCCTCAGACCATGATGGTCATCGTACTTGCCACGCTATTGGTTATGGGCACTGTCAGACTAGGCACGCGTGTCGGTATCAGGCGAATCCTGTACGCCTACATGTTAGGGCGCTGTTCATATAATTGCGCTCGACTATGCGCAGTTGCTCACGCGACTCGCCTTCGGCCCCAGGGTGACCGCCAACGTGCTGCGAGCCTGCTCGCGCCCAGCCTTCTCGCGCATCTGGGTCTGCGTGAAGGGCCTCGCGCCGAGCGGGCGAGATCCGGGGCCCGTCAGCCCCGCGCATTGCAGCAGACGTCGCGCGAAGCGGCGCCCGCATCAGGCACGCCCCCCCCCCCCCCCATTTACAATGCGCGTGCCGTTTCTGGGCATTCAGGCCGCGGGGCTGATTTGGAGAACGGGCGCGTGCGAGCGAGGGCGAGGGGGCGCGGGCGAGACGGAGAGATTGGATCGGAGATGGCGATCGTTGAGATGACGATGCGCGCATGCATGCTGCAGCAGCCCTTCGCCGCCATCACGCGCGCGTGCAGTTCGCGGCCGCTCGGCCGTCCATTGCGCGAAACAAATGAAACAAGGCCGCGCAGACAGCGCGGCGCACAGGTCGCAAACAGCAAGCTCGCCAGGGGGCGAGCATGCAACCTGCACTGGTGGGCCGAGGGGGCCGCCGCGAACAGCGCGCGCAACCAAGCTTGCACGGCAGGCGTAGTGCCGGCTGCGTTGGCAGATCGGGCGCGCGAAAGGCTCGTGACCTGAGCGGTCGAACGTACCGCTTAAGGAGCAATCTCGCGCAACTGGCAATATGGTCGCGTGACGCCATATGCAGATCAATTTCAGCAGACTCTCCTCGACCAATGGCCTCTCTTTTTTCCCTGCCTAGGCTCTGCCTAGAGGGTTCTTACTCGCTGGGCTTAAAGGGGCCGGGCAGTGGGCTCCGCCCTGGGCGTTTCCCCCGGCCCCCGCCCCGCGGTTCCCCCAGCCGCGCCCCCTTACCTTAGCTTTGCGTATCTCATCTTAGCTTTCCTTAACTTAGCTTAGCTTAGCTTCATCTTAGCTTCGTTTAGCTGTAGCTTAGCTTAGCTTCGCCCCGGGCGGTTCCCCCAGTCCCCTGGGAGCGGTCCCCCCAGTTGCGCCCCCTAGCTTTAGCTTTAGCATGAGCTCTAGCTTTAACATAGCTCTAGCTTTAGCTTTAACTTTAAATTTAGCTTTAGCTTTAGCTTTATCTTTAGCTTCAGCTTAGATTTAGCATAGCTTCAGCTTCAGCTTAGCTTTAGCTCTAGCTGAGCTTAGCTTTAGCTGAGCTTTAGCTTGGCTTTAGACTTGTTGTAGCTCAGCTGCAGCATAGCTTTAGCTCAGCTTTATCTTAGCTTTACCGTTACTGCTGATGCTGTTTTCCTTGGGGCTCCAACTCCTAGGTTGGGTCGCACTGGGGCAAC